TCTTTGCATGAATTGTTATAAAGCAAATCCCAGACATCATTGTTTTAATTGAAAACATTATTTATTTTTTAAAAATTTTTTACATGTTCATTTATTTAGAGAGAGAGAGAGAGAGAGAGAAAATCCCAAGCAGACTCCACGCTATCAGTGCAGAGCCCAATGTGGGGTTCAATTTCATGAACTATAAGATCATGACCTGAGCCAAAATCAAGAGTCAGATGCTTAATTGACTAAGCCACCCAGGCACGCCTAATTGAATACATTTTTAAAAAGCTAAGTCATAAGGTAATGATGAGTACAAGTAAAATAATCATTATCTGAAAGAAAATTAAGAAATATTATCAAATCTGTTTTCTCTCAGTTATCTGATAATATTAGAGAAAATGTTTGCCTCAAGTATTTTCACAATTCACATTTCACACTGACACACTTAATTAGAGCCACAAATCACATAGCTTTTAAAAATAATCATAAGAAAATACTTTTAGTTGAAAAACTCATTTTCTTTTGTTTTAAATTTTGAATCCTATATGTACAAGTATAAACTTATTTAGTAATTACTATATGCTTTTTAAATATACACAGAGAAAACACAACATGTATATAGAATTATTTACCAGATTACAACATCTTCAAAAGCAGGCATCATGCTTCTTTACATCTTAAACTGTACCAAGTATATTACTAAATTAATCAGACTTATGAATTGAATACTGCCGACATCAGATATTTCTCTGCTCATGGTATACATTACATTAAGAAATCCTGCTTAATGATCTTTAACCATATATAACATCAGATTGAAAGTAGTTATGGATGCTGCTTAGTTGATACTTATTGTAATTTTCTGTTCTTTCAACCAAAAATTATTTATCTGTAATTCATTTTTAAAATCTTTTAAAAATCTTATAGCCTAAAGGAACAGGGACAGATATTTCCTAACAATATATTAGAATTTGAAGGTATTTTTTAAATTGTTTCCTTAAAATGTAATAAAATTAAATATTAAAATAAAAATATATATGGAGTGTGAAAATAATGGTGAATATATATGGTTTCTCCAAAGACTTATTGCTGGGTATTCAATTCTGACCTAAATACATTTTTTTTTAAATTTAAGACCAGATATATAGTAGTTAAAGATACTTAAAGAATGGTATAGATGCACAAAGAACCTAGTAGCAGTTTGAAACATGAAGCTAGGGACCAGTGTACCTAAAAAAATATCTAAAAATGATAACACAGAAAATAAATCATTAACTTTGTGGTTAATCAACTTACCTTTCCATAAGTCATCTGCTTTTTCTAAAGATTACACTTCTTTCATTGGTTGGCTAATGTATGTTTCTTAAATCAACACAGGACTGGGGTTCTATTTATTTTGTGCAATAATTCTGCCTACTCACTTATGACCGATAGTTCAGTGTAAATACTGTATCTTGAGACATGCTGTATCCAGAATTGACCCTACGTTTTCTTTCCTGAGAATCTGAGGTGAATGGTAGACATATAAATTTGATTGAACAGTGAACTTCAATTCTTTCTAGCTACATAGGAAAGCAAGTCTATGCCATTGATCACTTAGTAAAACTCTTTTAATCCACTCTGAAGTTAACCACCATCGTCAAAATGTTCTGCGGAGATTATGTAAGTATAATGGCTATTTCAATACTTCTTGAGTCTCCTGAGATTTGAACCTTATTTATAAGATTTCATATGTGGTTCTCGACATTTTCATCAGAAAATATTGGTATTATAATTTATTTTTCATTAAATTATTAATTAGTGCATGTTCAATATAACTATTAAATGAAGATAATATTATTAAATCTCAATCCTATTCTAATTTTGAAGTAATTATTCCATAAGGGCAATTTAGATGCTCTTGTTTCATAAGTAACCTGACTTTGAATTCTCACCGAAGTCTAAGATTTTTTCTCGATATGTACTTCTATAAGAAACTAAAAATTAACTAATTAATTTTTATTTTAAATCTATAATATCTTCAGAAAATAGTTTATTTTTGAATGACTGTTGAATTTGAGCAATGTATTTTGTTTTCGTGTTGGAAACATTTCAATCCAACTGCTCTAACAGTCCACAAACTTTTGAAGAGACTACAAAAACCCAGATTATCTAAATATTCATTTTTAAAAGATAGCCGTTTCACATGGTCTTAGATATTATATATAATTGTGTTCTGTGTTGATATTTTTTAAAATCTATCTCATAGAAAAAGTTTTTAGGAAGCTTTTTATTTTTTACTGAAAATTTTTTATGCAAAAAAATAACAGCATAATTATTTGGTTATCTTTGGGACAAAAATAATATTATTTACTTATTTTAAAAGTATCAATTTCCAAGAAAATTCTATTTATTTTGTTTTTCAAATTAAATATTGAATGAGCATCTAAAATGTGTCCAGTTCCCATCAGTGTTGCCTTAAAAAACCTTAATTTCATCATGAGATTTTAGGATCGCATTGGCAGTTGAGACTTATCATTACTGTTTTATTAATTATGCAGCAGTTACATTTCACTACAGAGAAATAGGAGTCCTTAGGTAATTTAGACCAGCATGGTAAATGATTTAATTTGTAAAAAGCTATTGTCCCTTTCCATTCATTCAAGTACAATTATTTGGAAATGGTATTATATTCTGTATATTGTGTACAGTCTTATACGCCAATTTATCAAAGGAACATTAAGAGAATATTTAAGTCATATTTCAAGGAATATTAGAAGTTATTGGGGCGCCTGGGTGGCGCAGTCGGTTAAGCGTCCGACTTCAGCCAGGTCACGATCTCGCGGTCCGTGAGTTCGAGCCCCGCGTCAGACTCTGGGCTGATGGCTCGGAGCCTGGAGCCTGTTTCCGATTCTGTGTCTCCCCCTCTTTCTGCCCCTCCCCCGTTCATGCTCTGTCTCTCTCTCTGTCCCAAAAATAAATAAACGTTGAAAAAAAAAAAATTAAAAAAAAAAAAGAAGTTATGGTGATGACAAGATTTTAAGGAAATTCGATGATTTGCCATGGTTCTGGAGCAGATAAAAATATCAAAGAGTAAAGAGTTGGATTAAAGAGATTGAAATATTCATTTTAAGTATTTTTGAGCATTGAATGGTTTTTACATAATCAATGTCATTTTATTTTAAAGCAATTATTTATTTTCTTAAGATATATGGCCCAGGCATTAGAATTCGGTCTCTTTACAGACCACCAGTTGAGGTTAAGTTCATCTGTTTAATCTCTACTTTGGCTCTGGGGTTCTCAAGCAAAAGACAAGTTCTTCTATAGGCAATAAAGCAGAAGTTCTTATGGTGTGGATGAATTTTCACTGGGTTGCTTCTTAAAAACAGACTCTTAGGCCCTCCATTGAGCAATTGCTATTCAATATATGACGTCTGAACTTATATGATTGATAAAAATATGTGACCAGTTTTTGAGAGCCACTGCAGTAATTCATTAATATCAATTAAAAATAAAGAAAATTTGGGTTGCCTGGGTGCCTCAGTTGGTTAAGCAGCTAACTTCAGCTCAGGTCATGATCTTGTGGTCCATGGGTTCGAGCCCCACATCAGGCTCTCTACTGACAGGGTGGAGCCTGGAACCTGTTTTGGATTCTGTGTCTCCCTCTCTCTCTGCCCCTTTTCTGCTCATTTTCTGTTTCTCTCTGTCTCAAAAAATGAATAAAAACGTTAAAAAATTTTTTTAATTTTTAATAGAGAAAATTTAAATGTAAGTCAAGCAAGAAGCAAGAATCATAGAAAAGTAGTTACGTTTCTGTAAGAAATAATCATATGTAATCCTTTAAAATTACTTTCTAGAATTAAGGAGGTAGATAACCCTTAATGGTTAAAGTAGTTTAAGTGGGTTAGCTACATTGAGAGGGTAAATTTACCTTTAATGCAATAAGTGTATTTTACTTATGTGTTTGACCATAAGGCTGTCTATTGAAAGCAAGATTTAATTAAATGATTATGGCAAGTCTGGAGGTGTTTTATTAATTAGTCAGATATAAATCACCTTTCAGGAAGATGTTATTAAAATATCCTCCCTACATTGAGGGAAATTGCATTGTAGAGTACTAAAATACATATATTTGCCAAAGCCAGGATCTAAATCCAGTCATCCCTATGTCATTATAATTTGAGATTTTATCCACTATAATATATTGCCTCTTCCAAACATATTGGCCTGATTCTTCTAGTGAAACTGTTGGCTGCTTTTGTCCTGTTGTGTCATCAACTAATCCCCCTTTTTACACAGTAGCATTTAATTTACTATAGATAGATTTATTTGATTATACTCTTCCTTTTTGACTCAAAGTAAACTTTAATCTTTATTCCTTTTCCTAGCCTTTTCACGATATTTTATTTCTACCATATTTATTGATTGATAGAAAAATATTAATTTTAGGAGTAGTACAAGAAATACAACATATTGATATCATAGTCCATATCTGAATTAACATTATGTATTATAACTAAAGTAGAAAAACAATTATTAAAATTATCTGAATCTCTACCATACATCAGGAGCTTTACATAACTTGTCTAATTTAGTTGTTCACAGCAAATCTTTCCATAAGAATACCATTTAACATGCAAAAATTTTGTCTTCTTGGAGACACCAGATATTCTGTTCAGTGGTTCTATAATACATTATTTTTAGTCTTCACAATCTTCAAGGAAAGTATTCCCATTTTCTACATGAATATACTAAGGCTCAGAGAAGGTCAGTACTTTCTTCCAAGTGAAAAGCCAAGCAGTAGTGATATTGGATCTTGTCTAACTCCAAAACCATTTCTCACACACACAAAAAGTAAAACTGCGTAAGTGTGATGATCCTACATACTTACTGACTTCATGTTACAAGGCAAAAAGTAGGTCCTTTGGGAACGCCATTAAGAGGTAGAAAATCAGCAGCAGTATTGTTACAAAGATGCTCTTACTCATAAATTTTCCCCAAAAGTGCTCACCAAAGAACATCAAAGTGAAACAGCAATTTAGACAACGTCTAGTGTGGGCAACCTGACATTCTACATTTTAGCCCAACTAATAGGGAGCAAATGCATTGACACTTAGCAATGAATTAGAGGTAGTGAAGGAAGAGCACTCAGTAAATCAGAAACAAATTCAGGGCATTCTATCCAGGAGTGATTGCAAGCTGAGAAGACCTCCCATGGGAGCAGGAGCTGTTGATTAGGCAAGATTATTTTTAAATCAGGCTTTTTCTATTGAAGGATATTCCTGAGAGAAAAGTTTCCATCCAAAACCTCTGACTTTGATTATTTATCTGCAATATGACTTACTGAACAAATATTAATGAAAGGTTATTCATACTTTAGATTGCTTTCTACTATCACAAGACTACATTGTCTGAACTTTACACACTTTGATTCAACAAAAGTTATGAATCATGCTAGTTATGCTTCAACTTTTTCTGAAGCCTCTGTTGAACTAATATGTATTGAACTGGAAAAATTAAATGTAGTAACTTTTTCCTTGAAGCAATATATAAGCATGCTGTTAAAATTTTAAGCCCCCTTATAATAGCTATCGATTGCTTTTGAATATAAGGGCTGGGCAAATACAACTATAAAACACCTCAAAAAGGTGCTCTATTATTAGTGTTTATGTAGCAACAGTTCCAACGTTTTAAACCTACTCTAACTCAAAAGCCCTGCCCTTCAGTAGCCAATGCACTACTTCTGGAGATGAAATTAAGTTTGTTAGCAAGTTAAGTTTACACATACACACATATATATGTGTATAATCATTCACTTGTATATAAACACAGACACACAGGGGCGCCTGGGTGACTCAATCGGTTAACACATCTGACTT